CATTTGGAATTTTTTTCTTTGGCTCTTTGGGTCACACTCAGCAATGCTCAGGGGTTACTCCTGGCTCATGCACTCAGGAATTACTCCTGGCAGTGCACAGGGTATCATTTTCCTGTACATTCTTTTATTTATTTTTTATTTATTTACTTTTTGGGTCACACCCGGCGATGCACAGGGGTTACTCCTGGTTCTGCACTCAGGAATTACCCTTGGCAGTGCTCAGGGATGCTGGGAATCGTACCCGGGTCAGCCGAGTGCAAGGCAAACGCCCAGCCCGCTGTGCTATTGCTCCAGCCCCCTTTGTACATTCTTTTATGATTATTTACTTTCATAGCCATCATCACATAGACTGTGACCCAAACAAAATAATGATGTTACTATACGAGGGGTTTTTCTTTCCGTTTTTGTTTTGTTATTTGCTTGTGGAGTGCAAGTGAGGAGTTGGCACAGCCTGGAGTCTCTCCTAGCTTAGGGGTCACTCTCCATGGTTCTTGGGGGACCCTACAAAGCTGGGACCAAATCCAGGGGCTCCCAGCATGCCACACGTGTGCACCTGTCCTCTGAGCCACCCCCCTGATGCTGATACAAAACGTGAGGACAAAGTGAGTCCCCGTGTGCTGGGTCCTAATACGGACAACCAAACACGCGATTTTACAAATACCAGTTTAATGGCACCGGTGGAGGGATGGGTACGTGATCACTGTATGACTGAAACGTAATCACGAAAGTTTGTAAGTCTATAAAAAAATTAAAAATATATAAAATACAAACAAACAAAACCAAATACTAGTTCTGTGCCCAGTGGGAAACGCGAATGAGCTAGACCTGATTCCAGGGAAGGTCCGGGCCAGGGGAGGGACCCTCACCCACCCTGGCCCACCTGCCCAGGGGAGGGACGAGACAGCTCCCAGGCCAGCAGATCCACGGAGAGCTCCTGCCGACAGCGGCCTGGGAGCAGACCCCAAGGCCAACGTCCTCAGTACCCTCCTGTGCTGTAACTCTTCCCCCGTGGGGGCCAAGCACTCGGGAGATATTCCGTTTTTTCCCAAGTGCACACCTTGCTCACATGCTCCCAGGTCTTTCTGAGTCTCACCAGGCACGGGCTGATGGTCCTCACAGGCCAGATGCTGCCCCCACTGGCCAAGAGCTCCGAGAAGCCAATGACATTGGTCCCTGGCTGGGAAAGGTCTGGCTTTTTCCTGCTGCTGTGGTGGCAGGGCCACCCGGGACTCACTGGCTCAGGGCGCCCGAGTACAGCAGGGATCCCGGGAGGAGGAAGGGCTGGTGACCCCCCACTGGAGTCCACCACCCCCAACTTGGCACATCGAGGGGGGACCCAATTGCTGACAGCATCAAGGTCGCCTTCAGACCGTACTCACATGGGCCCCGCCCCCTTCAGTCCCTCTTGGACATTCGGGTTCCAGAGCTGACACTCCACGGCACTCTCTGTCCCCTTCAGAGGACTGGAAATCACCCCAGGTGTCGAGCCACATGCTGACTCTGGAGGGAACCCCCCCCCCCCACCATCCCCCTTGAGCCCCAGACCCCGCAGAGCCCACTGCACTGAGAGGCAGAGACTCTCCCCTAGGTTATGGGGGTACAGGGTCCCTGCCATTATTAGTGCAAAGGGTCAGCTGATCTGAACTCAGACCCTCGAGTTCAAGCACTGCCAGCACCCCCGAGTGATACAGGGGGCTGGGGGGGCTTGTCCTGCTCTCAAGGTTCTGCTTTGTTTGCCGGACCTCCCTGGAGCCGAGGGCTAGACAGCTTGGCACAGTGGGGAGACTACTTAGCCTTACATGCAGTGCCCCTGGCTCCATCCCTGATGCTGCAGGGACATAGCCCCCCCCCTCCCCCACGCCCATTGCTACTGGGAGAAATCCCTGAGCACAGCTTCAGTCAGTCTTCACCACAGTCCCTGTCTGCGTGGGGTATGCAGGGGGCGGGGGGGGGGTTGGCCCGAGACTGACCTACCCTCAAGCCACTGCCCCAGCCACTGATAAGGTCCCCTGCCACAGGAGTGGGATAACGTGCTTATTCCTGGTGGGAGTTTCTCCTCCCCTGTGCAAACCCTCTGGGATAAACAGGAGCTCCCCCCACCCTCCCCAGCCCCTCGGCCACTTCCCAGCCCACAGGGTCTCTTTGTCCCATTCAGTGCCCAGGACTCTGCCTCGGGGCTTCCCTGGAGGGAGGGGACCCCCAGCCCTCCTGCCTTTCTCTGCTCCCTGCCTTTCTTCTGGTTTTGCTTTCACTTGCCCAGCAGTGCTCAGGGTCGACTCCCAGAGCTGTGCTCAGGGATTTCTCCCAGTAGTAATGGCAGGTGTGTGTGTGTGTGGAGGGGGGGGGGGGGCTATGTCCCTGCAGCATCAGGGATAGAGCCAGGGTCACTGCATGCAAGGCTAAGCAGTCTCTCCACTGTGCCGGGCTGTCCAGCCCTCGGCTCCAGGGAGGTCACTGCGCAGGACTGACCCCTGCCACCTTCTCCCCTTGGTCCCTCACAAGGTGCCGCGTTCCCCACTACCTGCCGGCCAGCCCCCATCTCTAGGTCCAGCTTGACACAATTCAAGGGAAGCAGCCTCCTTGGTTCCTTCTCCAGAGACCCACAAACCCACCCCGAGGTCGCTTGGAGTCAGAGCCAGAAGTAAGCCCTGAGCACACTGCTGGGTGTGGCAAAAATGAAACAAACAAACAAAAATAAACCCCAAAGCCAAACCAAAAATTCAAAGGATATACAGAAAATCAAAAAGCAAAACAAAACAAAACAAAACCATGTAACACAATCTCTCACTGTTCAAGGGCCAAGATCCCTAATCTGTAGTGCCCCGGGGTGTCAGCAAGGAAAAGGTGACCATGCCACAGAACATGGCAAAGGCTGCAGTCGCAGGATGCAGAGCCAGCCCACCGAGGCACACAGGGGGCCCGTCCCTGCACCTAGACGGATGTCCCCTCCCTGTGCATAGGTGTCAGCCCTCTGAACCCTGAACCCTGCATGTCTTATCATTTCCAGAAAGCAAACGCTCAGCCGTTGCCTGGGAGCCCACGGTCCCTTTGGGGACAGCCTCAGAGCAGCCTCTGGAGAGCCATGTCCCCTCAGAGGGACTCAGCACCTGGGGAGACTGGGACCAGGTGGAGGCATGGAAAGCCTCCCCCTGTGTGGTCAGCCCCCGTGAGCTGAAAGGGCCTTTGTCCCTTCCAGTCTAGCCCTGCAGGACCCAACAGTGTGCAGAGCGCCCCCTGGCGGGCATCTGACCCTCCCCTGGCCCGTGGCTTCACCCTTCCAGCCAAACAGTTCTCTTGGCCAATACCTAGTTTCAAACGGTGGGGCAGGGGACGGTATTTAAATCACAAGTGAGAAGTTGGGGGACCCCCAGGGAGGGGTCTTCGAGGGCAGTGTCCTTGTGCTCAAGAAAGAGGACCTGGACCAGAGGTAACTTGCTTCTCCCTCTGGACAGCATGCAGCCGAGAGGGCAAAGCTGACCACTGGGCTAAGACCACATTCCAACCAGGAACTGCTTCATCCCAGGAACCCCTGGGAGATGACAGAGACCCTTATTGCATCTGTAAGGCGTGGCCCCAAGACACCCACCAGTGGTGGAAGAATGTGGCTAAGAGGTTTCACTGAGAAAGAGGAACAGAGCATGCCTCGAACCATGAGGCCCAGTTAAATGCGAACATGCAAGGGGCAAGATGCCCGTCCCTCCCCTCCTCCTCTGCGCAGCTGAAGATCTAGATCATGTGTTCGTCCTGCTTCCGGGCTTCCTGGTGCCTTTGACAGAGAGTCCATCTGGCAGCCTTTTTTTTTTTTTTTTTTTTGCTTTTTTGGGTCACACCCAGCAATGCTCAGAGGTTATTCCTGGCTCTGCAGTCAGGAATTACTCCTGACGGTGCTTGGGGGACCATATGGGATGCTGGGAATCGAACCCAGGTCGGCTGCGTGCAAGGCAAACGCCCTACCTGCTGTACTATCACTCTGGCCCCCAAGCCTTTTCCTTTCAATAAAGCTTTGCTTGTTTGTACATGGAGTCCAGCATGGCTCCTGGCAGCCCAGCCCAACAGCACCAATTCAGGCCCAGCCCAACAGCACCAATTCAGGTTCTGGTCCTGGGGTCTGAGACCATCCTATCTGACCCAGCGTGGGGAACCCACCATGCTTAGAAACTCTCATTCCAGGAGTGGGAACATGACTGTGCCGGCATCAGAGAAAAGGACAGATTTAATGGAGATTTAACATCTCCAAGGGGCCGGGGACGGCACTGTGTTGGGTATCCCAGTCACACAGCCCTGGAGATCCCTGAGCGCTGTATGGTGTCACTCTGGAGGCCTCCAGCACCACCAGGTGGCCCAGCATTGCAGGGCCTGAGAAGTATGTGCATCCTCAGTTCGGACACTGAATTTCCAGCCTGGTTAGCTGAGAATCACTAGTGTGGCCCCTGGGTCCAAATATCACTTGAGAGAACCCCCCCAAACATATGCAAATAAGGGGTTGGCACAATAGTACAGCAGGTAAGGCACTTGCCTTGCACATGGTTGAGCCAGGTTCAATCCTTGGCATTCCATATGGTCCCCTGAGCACCAAGGCAGGAGTGATCCCTAAACACAGAGGCAGGAGCAACCCCTGAGCACTACTGGCTGTGCCTCCCTCCAAAAACACCCATATAAACAAAAAGACGACTACCAAGAACCACCCGTCCCTCTAGGTGTGGACTCTTGTCATGGACTTGAGAAAGAGCCAGTACCCCTGTACCAGGAGAGCGCCTGGATCATGCCATGCCTGAAGTCCAATCCTGTTGATAGTATACTTAACCGAGCTAATGAAGTCCTTTAAAGCTTAAAGTGGACTGAACAGTACCTCTGTCACTCAGAACTCAAAAGAATCCCACCCAGCTTGAGAATACTCCACCCCGTGTCTCTCAAATTGCACCCAACGGAGAGCTGCCCATCCTTCAGGCCACATTAGGCCACGCCCCTCCCTCACACCCCTTCCCATTCTTCCCTCTTACCTGGTAATAGTTCAAAAGCATGCCGGCCCCAGACATGCCCAGGCCGGAGAACATGAAGGGCACTGTCACCTGACGGGCAATGGACCAGGTGGTCTCCTTGCAGAGGTCAGGCCCCACGGGTTTAGCAACAAGCCTTGGGCTCTCGGGAGCAATGAGAGCTCCCTTCTCCGAGGATGCAGTAACTCTTCCTGCGATGAGAGTGTGGGGGAGCCCCAGCTCCTCTGGCCTCCTCTGCCGGGTCTCCGTCCTCTCCATCTGGACACAGCTGCCTGGAACATAAAGCAGTAGGGCTAGAGGGCAGCTGACCTGCACACGTGGACAGCAGGCTGGCCAAGGCCCTTCTCTCACCTGGTCCTGCCCCACAGCTGCCCCTGCAAGCCCAATTAACAACCACCTCTTCTGGGATATGCGTATGTTTTTGTTTTTGTTTTTTTTTTGTTGTTGTTGTTGTTTCTTTTTTGGGGGGGAGAGTAAGAAAAGCAAAGACGATTAAAGAAATAGGAATGGGGTGCGGGCTGGAGCGATAGTACAGCAGGTAGGGCATTTGTCTTGCACGCAGCTGACCCGGATTCGATTCCCAGCATCCCATATGGTCCCTTGAGCACCGCCAGGAGTAATTCCTGAGTGCAGAGCCAGAGCCCCTGAGCATTGCTGGGTGTGAACCCCCCCAAAAAAATCCAAAATAAAAGAAATAGGAATCAGGGTTTGCCAGAAACTGGGGCTGTCTGGAAATTCTCCCCTCTGTAAAGAGCAAAACAACAGCTGTGAGTCAAAACAACAGGGGGCGAGAAACCCTGCTGAATCTCAGAAAGAATAACACTGTAACAGACAACACTGTAACCGCCAGGTGGGGCATGCTGTTCTGTCCAGGGACCCCAGCATGCTGGAGGTCTGCAAAAACGGGTGCTCCAGAACTACTACTATCGATCCACAGGGAGCTGTGTGTGTGTGGACTGTACTTGATCGCAATTGGAACTGGCTTTGGGACAAAAGCCTTTTCCTGCCGGGCCCCTTGGAAGAGGGATTACAGTGGAAGGCAATGAACCAGGGCTGAGTCAAAGCACTTAGAAGGAAAACCTAGGGTATGGCCAAGATCTCACATGCCTGGGAAACTAGGGGTCCACCCACCCAGCAGGGCAGTTAGTGCTCAAGCCCAGGGGGGTGTAGCATATGCTCAGGAACCAGTGGGAGGCAGAGCGCACCCTCTCCTGATGGAATGCTGACAGCGACCCCCTCTCTCCCCATGCACCCAGAGTCCCTTGGCAAAACCTGAGTCTTCTCCCTCCAAGAGTGGAGATAAAGGAAGTCCCTGACCTCTCATTCTCCAATTGCCACGCAGACATACAGCACAGTAGCACTGTAGCACTGTTCTCCTATTGTTCATGGATTTGCTTGAGTGGGCCCAGTAACACTGTGAGACTTGTTACTGTGTTTGGCATATCCAATACGTCACAGGTAGCTTGCCAGGCTTTGCCGCGCAGGCGAGATACTCTCAGTAGCTTTCCGAGCTCTCCGAGAGGGGCGGAGGAATCGAACTTCGGTTGGCCTGGCCCTACCCACTGTGCTAGGGATGGAGCAGACATACAGAATAAAGAATATAGATGATGGGGCCCGAGCAATAGGACAGTGTGCAAGGCACTTGCCTTGCACATCGCCGGCCAGGGTTCGATTCCTGGCACCACATACAGTCCCTCAACACGGTCAGAAGTAATTCCCGAGGGCAGAACTACAAGCAACCCTGAGAATCACTGGGTTTGGCCCCCAAATGAACAAAAATATATAGAGACAAAATTTCTTATTCAGAAAAGCCACAGAAAAGCCTCAATTAAATAGCACACACACGTAACCCTGGTTACATTCTCCCCTCTAGAGCACGATAAGCCTCAGTAGTGACTTCTGGCACAGGATTTACTTAAATGTGACGAGATCTTTACATGGAAATGTATTTGCATGTATGAGATAGGAAGGTATTATTTTAGATATGGTACAGGCTTACTAAAGATCATTTAACTGAGCTCCCAAATAACTGTAATGTCATCTATAGTATAGCAAATTATGATGAGGAGCTTTAACTGTATGTTTAAGTCATGTTCACAAGCTTATATCTGGAGCTCAGAATTTAAGCAATTCTTGAAATGCATGAATGTCTCTTTAATATACTGATTACAAAGTATTTTTTAAAAAGGATGCCCGTTCTGTTATCTGAAATGTGCTGAGCTCAACTACAACAACAACAATTAAAATAACATAAAACCTGGCCACAGAGGCAGGGTGTGGGGGGGCATGGGGGGAGGGATATTATCCATGGTGGTGGAAAATGGGCACTGGTGGAGGGATGGGTATTTGATCATTGTATGACCGAAACCCAAGCACAAAGATTTGTAAATCTACAACTGTACCTCATGGTGCTTCACTAATAAAAAAAAAAACATAAAACCTGAAAAGAAATAGGAGAGTCAGTCTGCTTATAGGAACCCAGGTCAGAACAGTGATCCCTGGCTGGAGAGATAATACAGCACATAGGGTGCTTGCCATGCATGCAGCCAACCCAGGTTTGATCTCCAGTATCCCATGCGGTCCCCCGAGCATTACCAGAAGTAATTCTTGAATGCAGAGCCTGGAGTAATCCCTGAACATCACTAGGTGTGGTCCCAAAACCAAACGGGGGAATAAATTTCACATTCTTGGACTGCAAGGATTAACACTGATTATTCCACCCAAAGCATTATACAGAGTCACTACAACCCCTATAAAATTCCAGTGGTATTCTTCAAGGGAGATGTTACTGGCACCCGCTCAAGTAAATCGATGAATAACGGGGGATCAAGTGATCAAGTGATTCTTTAAGGGCTGAGAACAAACTCTACTAAAATCTCTGTGAAATTATAAAATTACTCACCTAGCTAATGCTTTTCTGAAAGGAAAAAAAAGGAAGATGGAAGATAATGCTTTTCCTGACTTTAAATTGTACTACAAAGCTACAGTTACTAAAACAGTGTGGTACTAGAACAAAGACTTTTAGACCAGTAGGTTAAAATGAGAGCCAGAGGTAAACCCTTAGAATTGTGAACAATTCACTTAATTTGGGGGTACTTGGTGCAACACTTGGCTCAGGGGCTACACCTGACTCTGTGCTCAGAAAATCATTCCTGGTGGTGCCCAGGGGACCACATGGGTGCTAGGGATTGAGCCCGGATCAACTGTGCACAAGACAAGCACCTTACCTGTGGAACTATCTCTCTGGTCTCAAGATTATGAACAGGGCTGGTGCATAAAATGGAGCAAAAAAAAATCTCTTCAAGAAATGGTGCTGGGCAAATTGGTAGCCACATGCAGCAAAATGAAGCCAAAGTTGAATCTTACACTATTCAACGAAGTTAATTCGGAGTGGTTTAAAGACTTTGCAATTAGACCAGACTCCACAAAACACACTGAAAAAGTCACATGCAAAAACTCTCCAGGATATCGACCTTAGAGGTTTCATCAGTAATTTTTATTCCAGTGCCAAAGGAAACAAAACCTAAGCCCAACAAGTGGGTTACATCAAATTTAAAAAGTTTCTACATGGCAAAAGAACTCGGGTTAAAAGAAAAAGATGCCCTATTAACTGGAGAAAATATCTGCACCACAAACATCAGAAAAAGATGTATAAATCTGTATAAACCACTTACAAAACTCAACAACAACAAAAACCCAACATCCTCCTTCAAAAGTGGGACAGCTGATGGACAGATACCGCCACAAAGATGACATTAGAAAGCATTCATCATCATTTATTGTCAAGGAAGTGTGAATCAAAATGCCAATGAGTTATCATCCCACACCAGTGAATGTGGTGCATATCATAAAGACCGGAAACAACCAATGTTAACAGGGATGCAGTGAAAAGGAAATCTATTTCATTGTTAGTCAGTGGGAATGCCAATTAGATCAGCCTCTATGGAAGGCAGTACGGAGATGTTTCAAAAGTATATGAGGGGTCAGGGCCAGAGAGGTAGTATAGCAGGTAGGGCACATGCCTTGCACACAGGTGACCCAAGTACTGGAACAAAGACTTTTAGACCAATAGGACTATGCCATATGGTCCCCTGAGCCCACCAGGAGTGATTTCTGGGTGCATAGTCAGAAGTAACCCATTACCATCACGGTGTTTGTCCTTCATCGAAAAACAAAAGAATATGAGAGGCTGGAGAGATGTTCAGGAGTAGGGCATTTGCCTTACACGCAGCCAACCCAGGTTCAATCCCCAGCACTATACATGTTCTCTTGAGTACTTCCAGGAGTGATCTCTGAGCACAGAGCCAGGAGTAAGCCCCAAGCACTTCCAGGTGTGGCCTCAAAACCCACAGCAAAATAAATAGAAGAATATGAACACAGTTTCCATCTGACCCAGTGAATTTACTTCTTGGTAGCCCCAGTCACAGCACTGCACTGTCAAACAAACAGCACTGTCCTCCCGTTGTTCATTGATTTTGCTCAAGTGGGCCCAGTAACGTCTCCATTGTGAGACTTGTTGTTACTGTGTTTGGCATATCGAATACATCACGGGAAGCTTGCCAGGCTTTGCCGGGCGGGTGAGATACTCTCGGTAGCTTGCTGGGCTCTCTGAGAGGGGCGGAGGAATCAAACTTGGGTTGGCCAAGTCAACTGCGTGCACGGCAAACGCCCTACCCGCTGTGCTATTGATCCAGCCCCAGTCACAGAAACATCAATTTGAAAAGACATATGCACGCAATGTTCAATGCTGCACATAGGGCAGTAGCTGCATACACACCAACCCAAACGTCCAATGACAGTGACTGGACAAGAAGTTGTGATAGAACAGCAGAAACACCATTTGCACTCCTATATTCATTGCAGCACCATTTACCATAGCCAGAATCTGGAAACAACCTGAGTGCCCAGACAAATAGATAAAGAAACTGTGGCACATCTACACAATGGAATACTATGCAGCAGTCAGGAAAAATGAAGTCATGAAATTTGCCTATAAATGGATGGACACGGAGCGTATAATACTGAGTAAAATGAGTCAGAAGGAAAGGGACTGATATAGAATGACTGTATTCATTTGTAGTATATAAATATATATATATATACATATATATAGTAGAAGAATAATATCCATGGCCAGGGTAAACAGGGGTTAGGAGGACTGGTCAATGGCTGTAATTAACAATAAGTGTGTGGGAGGGGGCGGGAGCTGAGGGTAGGTAAGATAGAGAAGAGACAGTATAGCACTGTATAGCATTGTCCTCCCGTTGTTCATCGATTTGCTCCAGTGGGCCCAGTAACATCTCCATTTTTTTTTTTTGAGACTTGTTGTTACTGTGTTTGGCATATCGAATACATCACGGGTAGCTTGCCAGGATTTGCCATGCGGGCGAGATACTTTCGGTAGCTTACCGGGCTTTCCGAGAGGGGCGGAGGAATCGAACCCGGCTCGGCCGGTTGGCCGCATACAAGGCAAACGCCCAACCGCTGTACTATTGCTCCAGCCCAGAGAAGAAACAGAATCATAATAATAGTTGGGAATCATCATGCTGGACAAGATCTCAGAATTAAAAGTAGGTAAGGGGAAAAAAAGTAGGTAAGGGATCTTCTTGATAACCTTTCAGTATCAATATTGCAAACCATAATGCCCCGACCAGGGCTCCAGCAGCCTGAGACCTTCAGGACCAGCCACCACCATGCTGCACACACATGAAGGTACTGGCAGAGGGACAAAGCTATGCGGGTTCCGGGGCCGAGATCTCCAAGCCTACTCGGATTGGGGCCGAGCACCCCCCACCCAGATCCTCCAAATTCCAGTAGGCGGGGGTCACACCCACCAACTGGCCCCCTGGCGCCATGTAATCCCATCAACGGCCAAGACTCAGAGACTATAAAAACCAGCTCCTGGAACCGCACGGCCGCATTTGCGGCCGCGCAACATCTTATTATCTCATTCCTACTTTGGACAAACTGGCAGGCTACCAAATGTAGCCTGCCCACATGGCAGATTCTGGCAAACTCCCCATGGCGTACCCAATATGCCAAATACCAGTAACAATGATGGGTCTCATTCTCCTAAAGAGCCTTGAATATAATCTCAGGGCTAGGATGAAAGAGACGTTACTGGGGCCTGCTTGAGGCAATCAACGAATAACAGGATGATTTGTGAATGCCCAAAAGGGGAGACACAGAAAGAGAGTGGGGGTGGGGAGAGAGAAGAAAAACGTCTGCCAAAGAGGCAGGAAAGGAGTGGGGGTAGGTGATGGGAGGGAACCTGGGGGCACTGGTACTGGGAAATGTATACTGGTGGAGAGATGGGCGTTGAAACACTGACTGAAATCCAATCATGAATGGCTTTGTAATGCTCTAAAAAATAAATAAAAATAAAGTAGGAAAATAGAAAAAAAAAAAAGAAAGTGTGGTAGACACACACAACAAAATATGATGCAGCCATCAGAAGACCCGGGAATCTCCACACCCTTCAAAGCAGGAGCTCTCTCCCCGAAGAGGCCCAGAGGTTGAGTTTCTCCAAGGAGAACGGCATAGGAAGGGGAAGGGTCACTTTCTGGTCCTGGGACTGGGCTCTGGGCCTCCCCACCCAATCAGGTCATCTATGAAGCTGGGGTCTCCCTGACAACTGTTGCAGCATCACTGCTCCCCACCCCGTTCCTGTGTCCTGCAGGGTCGTGCCTGGTTTGTACTGGCGACCAGAAACCAGAACTGATGTGCCACACAGAACCCAGAACCCAGAACCCAACATCAGTGTCTGCCTCAGTCCGGTGAGGTAGGACGGCCTCAGTGGGGGGTGGCTGGAGGATCAGGAACCTCCATTCTCCTGTGATTGGCAACATGGGGCCTGGCCAGACTCCGGTCCTATGCCCAAACTGTGGGCCCCTGCCCGGACCCCAGACCCCCCTACCCAGTCCCTCTCCACGCCTGCTCCCGAGATGGGGACTTCTCATTCCTTATGACTCACACCCCGCAGAGGGATGTCCCTCTCACTTCTGTGCCCCCTGGGTGGAGGAGAGGCTGAGGACTCCTCACCTAGGGTCAGTGCCACCTCCCTCCTGCTTTACATCCTGGTGGACAAAAGGCAAGTGGGTTTTGTCCCCTGTCCCAGCAGGAACCCCAGCAACCAACAGGTTCGTGCTTTGGGGCCAAGCAGCGCGTGAACACATTCTCCCACCCAGACACTTCCGGCTTCCAGGGATGCTGAACGACGCTTGAACCAACTCCTGCAGGGATCCCAGAAATGTAAGATCCCCCTGGGGGCCACCGCTCCGACTGACTGGCACAGAGTAAGAGGAAGGGACCATGGGATGCCCTTTTCTGGCAGGAGGAGGTGGTTTTGGGGAGACACAGCATCCACCTCGGCAGGAAGGGGGCCTTCATTTCGGCCCAACCTCCCGGTGTCGGCCTGGTCTTCTGACAGATTTGGAAGCCTGGGCGTTTGTCCGGCCTCAAACACAGTGTGGGTCCTGCTTGGGGACTTCTGTCCTTTGGAGAAGAGGAAATGAAGGGAGAGAAGGGAAAGAGGCTGAGAGGCTCGGGTGTGTCACAGGGAATCCTTCTAGGAAAATTATCTGTCCTGCTGCCAGCCAGTTATCTTGGCTCTGTGTCCCCAAATGCTGAGGCACCCCACAATCGGGTTATCTTTCTAGACCAGAGGCTGGGAGAGCTGACCAGTTCCTTCCAAACTGCAGACTCGTGACTTCACGAGTGACAGTGGGTGAATGAGCCAAGAGCTTGGTCCTGCAGGCAGACCATTGTTTTCTTTTCTTTTCTTTTCTTTTCTTTTCTTTTCTTTTCTTTTCTTTTCTTTTAAGTTTTGGGCTCACACTCAGCACTGCTCAGAGCTTCCTCCTGTCTCTACACTCAGGGATACTCCTGGTGGGGCTCAGGAGGCCATCAAGGAGGCCAGGGATGGAACCCGGGCAGGCAGTGTCCTACCCAGCTGACCCATGGCTCAGGCAGACCTGTCTTACCAAATCAGGAGCAGATGGAGCCTGGGGTAGGCTGGATTTCAGGCTTGCTGATTTGAACGGGGGATTGATATTGTCCAGTTTTACTCATTCTCTAATGATTGGGGGGGGAGGGGCAGGAGGAGAGAGTACACCTTGCAGCGCTCAGGAACTACCCCAGTTAGGTGCTAGGTGGGAGGGAACGAGATGTCCTTCGTGGTGCTTGAAAATCACGCATTGCTGAGTGTTGAACCCGGGCTCCTGTAAAACTCCAGCGCTTTGAGCAATGTTCCTCGTTCCAGTTTCTGTTGTTACTTTCTCTTTATTATATTGAGGTGAACCGGTTACAGCAACATGAACGTTCAGAGTCTTTTGAATTACAGTAACGACACCTTTCACCGCCACAAAGTACCCCGCTCCCCTGGACGCTCCATCGCTCCAGGGCTGTCCCGTCCCGTCCCTAAACCAGCCCTTTCCCCCTTCCTCCCCTGCCCGCTGCCTGATGACCGACTCCGTCCATCCCCGTATCTCACCGATCACCGATGTGTGCCATCACGGGTATCCGTCCTCTGACTTACCCGGAGCGGCACCCCGACCCGCAGCCCCGCGTCTGCACCAAGCAACCCCGGCGGACCCCCGCCCGCGGCCCAATCCCCTCCAAGCCCTGCAGTTTCAGCTCAGGGGAGGAGCGTCTGTGCAAGACGGGCGCCGGGACGCACCTGGGGACTTGCAGATCTGCAGCTTATCCGGCCGGACCAGGTGCACTGGGCGGGGGGAGGGGGTGGGGGGGTTGGGGGCAGGGGGGGCGTGGAGGGGGAGAGGCAGGCGCGGCCAGCGCAGGGCGCGCGCCCTAAGCCCCCCTTTAGACCTGGACTTGAGTAGCGCCTGCTTTCACCCCTTTCCAGAGCCCCGTCCCCTCCATCCCCGCGCCGGGTTCCCCCTGGGTCTCCCCGGGTCTATCCCACCTCCGATGCACACACATACACTCTCCCACCCCGGCTGGGTGGGGCGCAGGGCAGCGCTTACCGTTACCCCTCCCTCAGGCAGGCTGGCGAGGAAGCGGGAAGGGTCGGGCCACCGTGGCCAGCCCTAGCCTCGCGGGCACCGCCCCTAGCGGGGACGGGCTTGGGACGTGGCAGGGGCGGTCCGGGGGCGTGGCGAGAGCGAGTGAGGGCGTGGCGAAGACGGTCTGGGGCGTGGCAAAAGCGGTCAGGGGCGTGGCAAGGCTGTCCTTGGAAGGTAGTATAATCGTAGGGGGCGTGGCGAGGGCGGTCGGAGGCGGGGCTGTCTGGGGCGGGGTCGTCTGAGGCCAGGGCGGGGAGGGGTGGGGTGGTCCAGGTCCCCGGGGCCCAGCCTCAGAGACCTTGTGAGGTCTGCGGGAAGTTCGGAAGTTTGAGCTTTACACACAGCTCCCGGGAGGGCGGTTGCTGCTGACGGCGTGGTGGGAAGGCCTAGGGTCAGCTGTCACATCCTGTTCTAAGTTGTGCGCCTGCAAAGCCAATGAATGGAGCGAATGGAGCGAATACTTGCATCCTCGGTGGACCCGCATACTCCTGCCACTCAGACCTGGTTTACAAACAAAGGAAACCGGGTCTGGGGCTGAGGAACCCCCTGAGAGGAGAGGGGGACACAAGGAGATTCTTGTTTGAGGGGTGCATTGACCACTTGCTGTTCCCAGAAGCCAGGTATCATCTTGTCTGAGGGCTGGCGCCCCTCAAGGTTCCAGGGCTGGTGTGCGGGCAGAGGTGACTTGTTAGTATGGAAATGGTTAGAGAAGTGAAACACTCCACAGTCTCCTTGGGGGACTGCAGATCTGCATGGTGTAATTTTCCCCATCAATATCACACACACACACACACACACACACACACCATTTTAAATTATGTGTGTGTGTGTGTGTGTGAGTGTGTGTGTGTGTGTGTGTGTGTGTGTGTGTGTTGGGTTTTGGTGCTTTGCCATGTACTATATGGTACTCAAGGTTTACTCCTGGCTCTGTGCTCAGGCATCATTCTTGGTGACACTCTTGGGACCATATGTGGTGATGGGCCATAAACCAGGCTGGGCCTCGGGAAGGACAAATATGGGTCCCAGGGTACTCTATCCTACCTCTGGGACCCATCTTTCCACCCTCCCAGGTCAAGTTTTATGTACTCCGGCTCACATATTTAACCTTTTAATACTTAAGTATACTTGCCTGATAAGCTGCTTTTGAAACATTCCCATAGTTTGAGTCTCTCCTAGAAGTATGAAGCCAGTCAGTGGGAAGTTTCCTGGGGTTATCAGTGGCTCTGGTAGTGAAAAAAGCCTTGGCTTCCCCTTGCTGGAAGGTGGATTTGCCTAAATTTGTCTCTTTTCTTAACAACTATAAAAATAATTTCGATTATAAAAATATTTCATTTTGTACAATATATTTTTGTACTTTTTTTTGCCAAAAAAAAAAGCCCCAAACAAACCAAAAACCACCTTTAAATTTTGTACTAAGGTGCTTTGTACAGAAATGCCCATCCATGACATGGACATGGGCACGTGGGGGCCCTGAACAAGGCCACACCTATCCTCATGCCCATCTCTCTGCTGGCCCAGCATCCACCTTACACTCATCTGGGGATGTCCTTGTCTTTGCCAAAAGGCCTTCAGCACAGGGGCAGGAATCCCAGCCCAGGGCTGGCCTACTGCCTGCCCACTGCTCAGAACCAAGGGATGGCCTGCTAGGTAAACGCCCTTGCAATGAGTAGCTTGCCAAGCCCCCACTTCACTTCTACATGGCTTAAAGAGGTACAAGATCTGACCCCACAAAGATCTTTGGAGCACAGAACCTCGGTTTCTTCCCATGACAGTGCTGCCCACTGGTCCTCAGAGGTCTCTCTAGAAACGAAGCTCCTTCCACCCCAGTGCCTGCAGAGGCTGGCTGTGCTGTGCATTCTGTAAAGAGTTTTTCTTTTCTTCTTTTTAAAAAAAAATTTGGGAGGACAGCCAGTATTTCTCTGGGGTTACTCCTGGCTCTGCACTCAGGAATTACTTCCAGAGTGCTTGAGGGACCACATGGGATGCCGGGAATCGAACCTGGGTCAGTGGTGTACAAGGCAAGTGCCCGACCCGCTGTACTGTCTGTCTGGCCCCATGAAAAGAGTTTTTCAACCCTTTCCCTGCCATGACCCCTTCCTATCTTGTTTCCTTCCTGTGGACCCCCCAGCCTCCTAGCCTTGTGCTGGGCCCCCTCCCCACTTGGCATGGTTTTCACCTGTGACCCCCTCGGGATACCGGGGCCCCCATAGGGGTGCATGTGTACATCAAGAAGCCCTGCACAGACCCTGCATGGGGCCACAAAGCACATGCTCTCCTCCACCTCTTTCCTTGAAATCCCCTAATGCCTCTTAACTGGGTCGCACTGCTGCTAATCTTAGGTAGGGTATTTTTGCCTGTGACGTCCCCAAGGGAGGGGACTCTCTCTTCATCCCTGGCTTCTTCTAGTGTGTGGCCCACACAGTGCAGACACTATATTAGGGTATCCCCTGGGCACCCGGGGTGACCTCTAGACTGAGGTGTTGGAAGAGAGGAGGCATGACAGGGGAAGGAAGGCAGTAAAAAGTGTCACTGAGGGGTATGTGATCACCATCCAGTCCACCTGGGCACCTCTGGGAGTTTCAGAGATGTCTTATTGGCAGGGGGGTACCAATCCTAGCTCCCACCTTCTTTCGCAGGGCTGCTTCAGGGGGACTTCAGTGCTGTAGATCTTCAGGCAGGGTGATGGTGACCAGCAGGGTGAGCCCTGCAGGCCCAGCCCTGGGGCATCAAAGTGCTGGACCAGGCCTGGGGGTATGCCTCTACAGCCTGGAAATGTATTAGTGGGCCCCCAGAAGAAATTACTGGATGTGGCGTTTGCGTGAAGCATAATTTCCAGGCAGGGAGTAGCAGCAGCATCACTAGGAAGCCTCCTGCAAACTGCAAAGCCATGAGCAAAAAAAAATCATGCACGCTGTGGTGGTAATTAGCCCCTGCCTCTGTCTCTGAGCCTGCTGTGGGATCACAGAATCTGCGAACCGGCCAGAGTGGCTGGATGGGGCCTGGCAGAGCAGGCTTTGCTATTTCCATCCGGGGAACGCTTGGCAGTGCTGTGCTCGGAAGACCAGGGGACCCCTGCCTGTCTGCAAACCTCCCCCCAGGAAGTTACATCCAGGAGCGGCGGGCCTGGGGTCAGTCTGTCCACCTGACTGGGGCTGCTGGTCCACCCCCACCCCCCATGCCTCTACCAGCAGGAATGGCACTTTTTTTTTTGCTTTTTGGGGTCACACTCAGAATTGCACAGGGGTTGCTCCTGGCTCTGCACTCAGAAATCACTCCTGGTGGTGCTCAGGTGATCATATGGGATGCTGGGGATCGAACCCGGGTCAGACGATGCAAGGCAAACTCCCTACTCGCTGTAGTACTGCTCCAGCCCAGGAATGTCACTTTTAAAGAGATGGGCCTCCCCCTCACCCCCCATTCTCCATACCATCAGCCCAGAAAGAGCTTGGGACCTTGAGAGCCCACAGGCGGCTGATGCACATTGAAACTCCAGGAGCTGATTTTGCTGCTGGCCATGAACCGCGGTCAGTCCAGGGGAAGCCGAGGGAGCAGGTACTGTGGGGCCTCCAGCCTGCCGGGCTTCGGTGACGGCTGCTGGTCCGCACTGACCCCAGATGGGGGGTTGGGTACCATCCACCTTTGGAGTGCTTTGGAGCCCAGGTGACAACCAGGACTTTCATCCCAAGTCTGAAGTAGACCTGGGGACAGCCTGTAGGTTGAGTCCCAAACTGGGGGAATCTGATATTCTTTCTCAGTCAATGGCATCAGAATTGAATTATGGGACACTCTAACACAGTTTGGCAGTGTGGGGCAACTCCCTCACCCCTCCCCTACCCCACTACATCGTACTTGGGTGCAGATTTGTTAAATGTGAAACACACCAGTGCTGAAAAATATGGCGTGACATATTTGTGCTAGGACCACATCTGACACTCTGCACTGTGCACTGTCTGGGATAGGCAGGGATTTGAAGTCACTGGCACTGCCCCCTTTTTTTCTTTTTTTTTTTTTTGCCTTTTTTTGGTCACACCCAGCGATGCTCAGGGGTCACTTCTGGCTGTGCACTCAGGAATTACTCCTGGCGGTGCTTGGGGACCATATGGGATGCTGGGGATCAAACCCGGATCAGCCGCGTGCAAGGCAAATGCCCTACCCGCTGTGTTATCGCTACGCCCACTGCCTCCTTTTGACTGTTGTTTCAGCTCTCTGAATTACCTCCGTGAAAAATCTGGACTGGGCCAGCAGGGGGCGTGACTCCATGGAGCTCAGGCCTGACAAGGGCCCTGAGTGCTGTGGGGTCCCCTGGCCCCGTGCCCTGTTTGGACCCCGCAGCCGCTACTGGGATCAAAGATGGGAGAGGAACGGGGGGCTGGGGGCACAGCTGATGGTGTCGATGTGAGGAGATTAAAATTCTCCTGTGCGATCAGAGGGATAGTACAGCTGGTGGGGGCCTTGCCTTGTCTGCTGCCAACCAGGTTTAATCTCTGGCACCTCCTATACGGTCCTTGAGCCTTCCAAAGTGTGATCCTCTGAGCACAGAGCCAGGAAAAGTTCCTGAGCACCACTGGTGTGACCCAAACCTCAAACACATACAAAAGAAAACTCTACTTGTAAACTTCCATAAAAATCCTCCGTAATGATCCCAGTAGCGGCGATGGGGAGATAGGGCTGTGGATAGGGCTCTTGCCTGGTGCATGGTGGACCCCACTTGATCCCCAGCACCGCGGACGATCCCTCAAGCATCTCTAGGAGTGATGCCTAAACACAGAGCTAGGGGTATTGCTGCAGAGACCCCCAAGCCCACCCCTAACCCTACCCCGAAGAGCAAGTTTGTTGGTTCGTGTAATATTTATTGAGGTACTGAGATTTACAAAGTTGTTCATAATAAAGTCGTTTCAGGCATATGACATTTCAATATCAACCCCACAACCATTAGCTCCAGGTTCCCCACCCCACCTGCAGCCTACACACTCGGCAGGCATATCACTGTCCTCCTGTTGTTCATCGATTTGCTCGAGCGGGCCCAGTAACATCTCCATCATGAGACTTGTTGTTACTGTGTTTGGCATATCGAATACGT